TTGGATACACCGTGTGCTTAGACCCTCCCTCTTCCTGTGGCTGCTACCACTCTGGTTCCTGGGAAGCAGAGCCTTCTTCTTCCTGTGGTACTGGTATACCCAATCCTGAATATAGATTTCCTGTGTTTCCTTTTTGTGCAACACTGGAAGGCTGGAGATTTTGCTTGTTTCTTTGCTTATGCATCTGTATTTATTTTGGGGGAAGGGAGGCTCCCAGTTGGTGCTCAGGAGGTCTACCCCCATACCCCTTGACTCTTGGACAGATGGACTTTGGGTTCATTGCCCAAGGATTGAGGATGTTGCTCAGACCTTGTGATGCCTGGAGGTCCTGGGGGAAGGGGAAGCTTTAGGGCGTGCGCCGATGCCCTTAGGAGCCATGTGAGTGCTGAGATTCAAACTTGGGATTCAAACTCTCAGACCCTGTTTGTTTGTATTTAAAAATTCACCATTTGAAAGTAGAAAATAATGTAGCTTACCCCAACAACTTGCTCGAGTGGGCCCAGTAACGTCTCCATCATGAGACTTGTTGTTACTGTGTTTGGCATATCGAATATGTCATGGGTAGCTTGCCAGGCTTTGCTGTGCGGGCGAGATACTCTCAGTAGCTTGCTGGGCTCTCTGAGAGGGGCGGAGGAGTTGAACCCGGCTTGGCCAGGCTGGCTGGATGCAAGGCAAACACCCTTCTGCTCTGCTATCGCTCCAGCCCCTACCTTCATTTTTAAATAGAAACTTGCTTCATATATTTTTCTTTTGAACCATTACATGGTACTGTTGTCTTCACCTCCCAGACAAGGTTCCGAGAGAGCCTGGGGACTGTGCACCCTCTGAATTCAAGTTCTGTGGCTTTACACATGCATTCAATACTAATTTTTGTGCTTTTTTTTTGAGGTTTGTGCTCCTTTCAGTTGTGTTCATACATGTGCCAACTGGTGCTTGCACTTGTACTTGAGACACACAGGTTGTGGTTGTGGTGCTCGTGCAGGGTGAGCTAAAGTGTCTACTCATGTGTTGCCAGGGTTTGCACCCTTCTTTGTGGTGCTCACACACACTAGCCGTTGTGCAGCCAGGGATTGCATATGAGAAAGCTGCCAGCTTTGTTCTCAGTGCATGTGGGGCACCTGGGATTTGAACTTGTGACCATCCAATTGCCAGGCAGGTATTTGGAACTCCTGCGCTACTTCTCTAGGTAGGCCCTGGACATTGACTTTGTCTAAGCTTGGTCTGTGGGTGTGTGGAATAGTGGTGGAGTGATTGCTTTACAGACATGAAGCTGGGAATCTGACCACTGTCCAGTGTGATCCCAGCTGCACTGCCCTTTGTGATTCCTGGCACCCCACAAACAGGCATATGGCGACCATAACTGTGTGTGTGTGAGCAACACTGCAGTACCCAGAGGGCACCAGAACTAAGTATGTGTGACCTACCCACTGCCTCCAGTCATCGAAAAAGGCATTAAAATATTTGGTTACAGAAATCGAAATGTGCTCTTTGGACTTGAGTTCAAATCTAAACTTCGAAATGTGCTGGCTGTAAATAAGCCTAAAGCTGCATTTTCATCTCTAAAGCAAAGATGAAAATTAGATGCTCTTTGTCATTGACAAGCCTGCAGGTTACTGAGAGAGGCAGATACCTAAACTGGCAGTGACAGTAGTACAGCTTAAGGGCCCTACTGTTGAGCACGAAGATGGTGAGAGTTTCTTGTGGAATAAGCATAAGGTAATCTATCATTTTTGTTCCAGCAGAAGACACATTGCCAGCCAGCACTCGGGGAAGGGTACCCCTTACTAGACAAGCTGGGCTACACATCAGAAGGAGTAGGCATAGTTTGCAATCTGTCCCAGTGCCTTAGCCAGATACCGGAGAAGGCAGCGGCTCCCCAGATGGTACCACTCATGTTTCCAGGAAAGCCCAGACGGTGATTTGCTTTAACAGACAGGGAAATTCTTTCGCAGACTGTTGTTTTCCTTCCTCCTCTTTTTGTTGGTGAGTCTGTGTTGTCTGTTTGGGATGTCGGTCCTGTTAATGACAGGAATTAGTGATACTTGAAAAGTGTTTCTGCATATGTGTCGATATACCTGTATGTGCCCTTTGTGCGTATCCTAATGTCTTCCTATTTGTATGTCTCATTCTGTATTAAATGCGTCTGTGTGTATGACAGGAAGTAAAAGGAGGGGCCAGGGAGATATAGGTCATTGGACTGGAGCACATGCTTTGAATGCAGGAGACCTGGATTTGATCCTGGTACCTCACGGTTCCTTGAGCACAGCTGGAAGTGACCCAAATAAAAAACAACTGGAAAAAAAAAGAAAAGAAAAAGGAAGTGAGGGATAGTAGGAACACAGAGTCAAGGAGAAGGGAGCTGAGAGAAAGCTAGAAAGGTGAGATGAGACCAGGGAGAAGGACAGCAGCAAAATATTAGGTTGCAGAATAGTGTGCAGGGCCTTGGAGTTAAAGAAGAATCAGAATAATCAGAAACTCACAGATGCCAGTAGTTTAGCAGGATCTGGACCATACAGAGCTTGCCTGGCAGTCAGAAGTATTAAGCCAATGAGGAAGAAAAGCCCCAATTTTGGTTTTAAGCTTCTGACTTTTTTTCCTAAGGAGGCATTGGTAGCTGACTCTCAAGGCCATGCTTTCCTTCAGTTCTTTCTGGTGCGTGAGAGTTTGTCTGTCTGTACATGTGTGAAAATCTCTGTGCATATCTGTGTCTGCATGCACGTTCCATTCAGTGTACTTCATGGTATTAGAATTGGTTTCCAGTGCAATTTCTGATTTACTTGAGCATCAGTGACCTGCCCCTTATTGTTCTTGATTTTTCTCCACTTTAAAAAAAAATCTTACTTCTCCAAATATATTTACTATCTTTCCTGTGCTGGATGCTTGATATTATTTGATATGCAGAGAATAATGAAGAAGGTAGGTTTTCTACCAGGAAAGGACTCATAGATTAGCAAGGCAGAAAGACATCCTGATGCATGGAAGTGTTGTGATCAGCACCATGCTGTAGCTTTGGCAGCGTAGGAGAGTTAACCCATCTCAGAATGTTGTCTGGAAAGACTGCACTGAAGTGATACCTAGATGAATTGTTGGAGATGAGTAGGATGTATCTTCAATACAGAGGAGAGAAGGATATGCCACGTGGAGGAATGAGTGTGACATCCTTAGGAATCTGTGTCACTGTTTCTTTTTGTTTTTATTGTTGTCTTTTAATTTTTGGGCCACACTGGTGATACTCAGGGGTGACTCCTGTGGCTATGTGCTCAAGAATGACCCTTGGCTGTCCTCTGGATACCATATGTGGTACCAGGGATTGAATAGGAGTTGACCGCATGCAAGGCAAGCACCTTAATTGTTTTTTAATTTTTGAGCCATACCTGGTGGTGCTTGGGCCTTTCTCCTGGCTCAGTGCTCAAGGATCACTCTTGATTGTGCTCTTGGAAGCTATGGGCTGCCTTGTGCCACATAGGAACCCGGAGTATCCACATGCAAGGCAAATACTTTAAAGCCTAAACTATCTCTCTAGCCAGTGTTTCTTTCTTTTGGAGGTGGGGGGAGCGGTGAAGGGTGAAGGGGCACATCCGCAGTGCTCAGAGCTTATTCCCTAGCTCTGTGCTCAGATTTTCTCCTGGTGGGCTTGGGGAACCACATGGGATGCCTGGGATCAAAATTAAGTCAGCTGCATGCAAGGCAAGCACCCTACCCACTGTACTATCTCTCTGGCCCCTAAAGTATTCTTTCTAAACCATATTGCTGTATGCAGATTTCAACAACGTTATCAAACTTTTCCACACCCTGTGGCCAGCAGTTCAGGCCCTTTCAGAGGCATGCACCATTTCAGAATGTGGCACTCTACAGGTGAGAACTTTGTTCCTTTTCACCCAACCACCTGGTGTCTTGAGAAGAAGGAGCTGATTATTAAAAGTTGTGCAGACTCAGAGGTTGAGTGCTGCTTCATTCAGGACATAACCATTCTCCATATTGTGAGCTCCCTGCTAGGGCACCTAGATTCTGAAAGTGTGTTCAAACATTTGTAAAGCGTCATTTACATACAGGCAGTGTGAGAGACTGCCTTCAAAAGTCTCAGTGTTTTTCATGTTCAGGCTCAAAATTATATTATATATGGCAGAGATGGATTTGAATTTATATCTATGAGATTTTTTTTTAACCCCTACGTGACAATTTACAGATCTTTTGATATCTTTATGGTGACTGAGCTCCCTGATCAGTTGAGAATTGAAAATTCATTTGAACCCAAAAGGAGAGAGAGAGCAAAAGGGAATGCCCTGCCACAGAGGTGGGGGGGGGATAAGGTGGGGGTGGTGGGAGGGATGCTGGGATCATTGGTGGTGGAAAATGGGCACTGGTGGAGGGATGGGTACTCCATCACTGTAGGACTAAAACGCAAGGACAAAAGTTTGTAAGTCTGTAACTGTACCTCACAATGATTCACTAATAAAAATTTTTTTAAAAAAGAAAAGAAAATTCAGTTGAGGGTTGTAGAGATAGGCTGAGTGCATGTTTTGCTAATGGGAGGCCCTGGTTTGACCCAGCACAACACAGTTCCCTGAGAACTACCAGAAGTGGCTCCAGAGTACAGAGCTGGGATTAGCAGAAACCTTTGTTCAGTGACATCCTGGTTCAGGAACTGAGTATTGGTGGAGGGGTGGCTGTAGCCTCAGGTCGTCATGACTTGCCTCTTCTAGAATATAATTGGTGTCTTCGCAGTCAGGCAGACAGAGCAGACTGGGGACCATTATCCACTGACACCTATTAAACCCTTACCGGTGAATGGAACTGTGCGGAGCAAGGAGACCCACTTCTTGGCTGGATTTCCCTCAGAGTTACTCTTATCAGCAGATAAACAAGTGCTGACCTTCTCAGGCACACAAGCCTGCAGCTGGGAAGAGGTGGGAAGGGGGGACAGGGAGCTGTGTGTTCTTGACTGTACCAGTTTGGAGAGAAGTTTCTTTCTTTTTTGTTTACTTGTATTTGGGGGTGAAATACTTACCTGAGAGGGGAGACACCATGATCACGTAGGTGGTTTTCCCAGGGCAAGTCTTATTCATCGCACTCCGGATATGCTGACCCCTGTGATTTCCCCAAATGTGGGAAACTCTACCACTGTTTCCCACAGCGGGTAGGGTATTTGCCTTGCATGCAGCTGACCCGGGCCGACCCAGGTTCAATTCCTCCACCCCTCTCAGAAAGCCTAGCAAGCTACCAAGAGTATTCCACCTGCACGGTAGAGCCTGGCAAGCTCCCTGTGTTGTATTCGGTATGCCAAGAACAGTAACAAGTCTCACAATGAAGACGTTACTGGTGCCCGCTCGAGCAAATTGATGCGCAACGGAAGGGCAGTGCTACAGTGCTACAGTGCTTGTATTTGGGGCCATCCCTAGTGGTGCTTTGGGACTGTGCAGTGTTGGGTTTGAACCCAGGCCTCCTTCATGGAAAGCGCATTCACCACCCATTGAGCCAACTCGTCTGCCTGAGTTTCTATCTTCCTGATGTGGAAAGTAGGTGGGAAAGTGAGGAGGGAACAGGTGCTTGTTCAAATACTATAGACTCACTGGTTTAATAGATCTTCATAAGGAAATGTTTCTTTGTATGCCCTTTGGACCACGCCAGAAAAAAATATTTTTTTAAAAAGACTTTTAGTTTTGGTTCCAGGCACTAAACCCAGGATTTCATGCATGCAGAGTATATATTCTCCCACTGTATCACAACCCCAGTCCTTCATTGCTTTCTTTCTTTCTTTTTTTTCCCCCCCCAATTGTTAAAATATATACGATAGGGCTGGAGATGTGGACCAAGTAGTAGAATATATGTTTTGCGTGTGTGAGGCCCTGTGTTTTATCTCTCGAACCATATAGCCTTCCAACCACCCACCAGGTATAGTGATGGTAGCCCTCAACCACCCCAGACCTCAGCCACAGGTGGCTCCCAGTACTACTGGTTTGAACACTGTAGGAACTGGCTCCCAGTGCTCCATTTAGGTTGATCCCTACTTAAAAAAGAAGAAATAAATTCTACATAATGTGAAATTTACCATCTTAACCTTTCCTGGGGGTGGGGTGGGGATGGGGAGTTGTGCCTCCCAAGCAGTGTTCCTATGGCTCTGGATTCCCAGGGATGGCTCAGGGACTCCAGGGCCACCCCTGGCAGTGTGAGTTGGGAGTGATTGTCACGTGGTTCTTGGGTTGGACTCAAGTCCAGGTGCATGCATGTGCCCCCTGCCCACTGAGTACCTCCCTGGTCCCTATCTTAACTACTTCCAAGTGTACCGTTTTTTTCAGTGGTATTAAATACACTCACTTGTGCCCCCATCATCCATCTCATTACTCTTCATCTTGTCCTAAGACTTTAGATGATTGCTATAATAAGTAATTTTATGCCTCCTATGTGCGAGGCCCTGGGTTTAATTCTAACTCCAGGGCTGGGAAGAATTTCACCAGTTTTGTGGGAGTGTGGTTCTATGGAGCATCTCACTTAACAAGTCAGATGTTCTCTCTAACTCATTAGTTTTTTTAGACCTCCTTACTTATAATGCATTCTGTCCAGTGCTGTGTTCATTCTGTTCATCCTATGTAAATGTGTCAGTATTGACCCCAATTAAAAAGTTAATCCTTTCTCTCTGGGAATATCTTAAAATTAATGATCTATTTCTATCCTCCTTTTTAAAACAAAGATTCCCCAGCCAGCAGTCTTGGGCTATCTTGAATACTTTGGTCTTAATAGTTAATAAAACAGAGATGTCAGAGTTCCAGTCTTTGTCATTTTGGCAAGATACCTGGCCAGTTGCAACCATAGTTGCTACCTCAAGGGTTTGACCTGTGTCACTGCCTTTATCATAGTCTGAGGACATCAACAATGATTCTTTGGGGGCCGGAGTGATAGCACAGTGGGTAGGGCATTTGCCTTGCATATGCATATGGCTGTCCCAGGTTCAATTCCCACCATCCCATATGGTCCCCGAGTACTGCCAGGAGTAATTTCTGAGTGCATGAGCCAGGAGTAACCCCTGTGTATCACTGGGTGTGACCCAAAAGGCCAAAAAAAAAAAAAAAGAAGAAAGAAAGATTCTGTGACAAGGACTGAGCTCTTCATCATTGACCTTAGAGTTGATTCTCTGTGTCTATATATCTGGGTGCTAGAAATGTATAGTAATAAGTGGAAAGATGAAAATTGCTTTTTGGGAAGAGGTTCCATGAGTGGTGGAAACAGCCATGTAAATAGAGGAGGAGCCTACAGTAGGAGAAGTAAATACTGTAATAAGTTAGTAGAGGAGGAAAACCTATGTTAGTTTTAGTCACGTGCAGTATTGCTGACATGTAATCTGGGTATGAAGTGATGACTTAATGTAACCAGAAGTATTTTAGGTGAGGGAATATTGTGTGTAAAAATAAAAGATTGGGGCCAGGGATGTAGCTCAGCAGTAAAACACTTGCTTTGTATTTGTGAGACCCTGGGTTTGATCCCTAGCACTGCAAAAATACATAAATAAATAACAACAACAACAAAATCCTAAAGTTTGTGGAAAATCTGACATTATCAAGGAGTTTCAAGTAATGTGTTATGTCACTTGGATGTAGAGTATGGCATTTGGTGTGACCAAGAAGGGAGATAGGGATCAACCTGTAAGAATCTTGCCTGTCTTCAGCAGGAAGCTTGGCACCGGGGCAGGAGTGAGTGAGATTAATTAGGGAAGGGAACACTAGGCCAATGGAGGAGGTGAAAAGTGGATGCCACAGAGGCAGGCTTGGGGGTGGGAGGAAAAGTTGGGGACATTGGTGGAGGGTAGTGGGCACTGGTGAAGGGATTGGTGTTGGAACAATATACACTGAAACTCAATCATGAATATCTTTGTAACTTTGTAATCCATGGTGATTCAATTTAAAAAATCTAAAATAAAATTGAGAAAAAGAACTTTGCCTTAGTGAAATTTTTATTTAGGACCAAAGCTTTCAAAGAACAACAGAATAGAATAGAAATGACCTTAGAGATAACTAGATAGATTACAGTTTGTCATATTATCTCTGCTGCTGATCGCTTGGCTTTCTATTGCAAGCATTTAAGAAATAATTTATTTTCTGCCTCATCTATGGCCCCTCTTTACATATGAGAGAGAAGTGTCTCTATAAACTAGAATGCGGTTAAGTATAAACATCATTAAAATTTTTTTTGTTATACGTATTTATTGAATCACTGTGGGAAAAGTTACAAAGCTTTCAGGTTTATCTCGGTCATACAATGATCAAACACCTTTCCTTTCACCAGTACTTACTTTTCACCACCAATAACCCCAATATACCTCGCTCCCATACCTCCCAATGCCTGTGAGGCAGATGATTTCTACTTAACTCTCTCTCTACTTTGATTACATTCATTATTTTGACAAAAGATGCACCATTATTGTTTAGAATTTTCCAACAATCAGAACTGCTGAAAAGGCAGTGTGAAATAATTTGTTTTATATAGCTGGTTATGAGAACCATATGATGTCGCGCGGCCGCTATCAGATTTTGGATTTCTGATATTCTACTAATTAAGTCTGGAGGAATTTCTGCCAAGAACCAGAAAATTACGAGATTGGTTTCTGTGTGTCTGGTGCTATGGCCATGCTGGAGAGCCGCTTGTGTGGGGCAACTCGTGGCCTCAGTAGGGGGTGAAGGACGAGCCGGTACCACCACCCTTCCCATGAGGCTTTAGTTGCCCTGTCACCTTGGGCTCATACCTGACTTTCCAATAAGCTCTGAGGCAGCAGCCACCTTGCTGGGGGTGGGGGAGAGGGAGAGGTGGGGGAGGAGGCGGAAGGGAGAGACACCCTTTCCCTCCTGGGGAGGCATGGCGCTGTAGTTTCATGCATAATCCATTCACTTTTCTGCCACAAGCTGCTGGACTCTAGATTAAGTCCTTTTGCCTCTAGAGCCATGGCCGTGCCTGAGAACTGCTTGTGGGGGGCAACTCGTGGCCTTGGTAGGGCGTGAAGGATGTGCTAGTACCGCCCCCTTCCCATGAGGCATTAATTTTTTTTGTATTGAATACCATGAGATAGAGTTACAAAGTGGTTCATGATTGGGTTTCAGTCACACAATATTCCAACATCCATTTCTTCACCATACACTTAATTTTTTATACCCTTCTTTTAATATATTAATATGTTTAGGAGGAGTTTGTGCCACACACTGTTCTAAGCTCTGTATGTTAATTAGCTCATTTATATTATCATCAGTGTGAGGATATTAAGAAGTTTTGTATGGCTTTTACCTCATTTTACAAATTAAGTGCATGCTGCATTGACAATAAGGGGTAGAACCAGGCTTCACACTTTGTCAGTGTAACTCTGTAATCCTGCCCTATGTCATCATGCTACATTGAGTTCAAGCTATGTAACTCTCTGGCTCCTAGTCAAATATTTTTACTTTAGATTGACAATTTAGGAACTTTTTCTTTCTGTCGTGTAGTTGACATATATGCAATGACTAGCTAGTAAGCTGGGCACTCTGCTGGGTGTTGTCGGGCAAACTCAAGTGAGAGCTGTTCATTTATTTAATAACCACATGCTCTGCTCTGTACCAGGCCCTATCGTTGGACGTGGGTTTACAGAACTAAATTAGTTATTCATTTAGACATTTCAAAGAATTTGCAAGATGCTGGGTAAAGAGATAAATGGCAAATAAAAATACAGTTTCTATATTTGATCTGCACAGGAGGAGTAAGAGGGAAGTAATTAAAAGGTAATTTAGTATAATGAAATAGGTACTGTCATAGATACATATCCTGAGAACTTAGAGAATAAATAGGATAGGGCAATTAACTTGCCTGAGTGAGGTCTGGAAAACTTCACTGTGGCACCTTACTTTTTCTTTAGCAGATAAAGAGGGAGAAGACATTTTAAAGGGGGCATCTTATATAAAGGCTTAGAGGCATAAATAACTTGGTTTACTCAGGGAGCATGAAGTCACTTGATGTATCTGGAGCAGATGTTGACAAACTTTTTCAATAAAAGGCTAGATAATCATTATTTTTGGCTTTCCTAGCTATACAATCTCTGTCACAAATAATTGTCTGTTAAAAATAAAACCCCAAGGCAAAACAAACTTAGCTGTGCCTTTGAGCACAAAAATAGCTCTAGACAGTATATAAATGAGTGAGACT